GGCAGTCTAAAAAAGTTTATTAAAACACTCATGACTAAGGTGTCTTCTAAGCATGTTAACTTATTCTCCTATGTGAACTGGAGACGTCCTATTCAACTTGCTTTCTCTATAACCATTCAGATGTTGTGTTAGAGATCCTTTTAATTTAGTACCGAATCTTGCACATACACTTTGTAACTCTTAACAATTGGAATTAGGGTGACCAGATGTCCCGATTTTATAGGGACAGTCCCGATATTTGGTTTTTTTCTTCTATAGACTCATATTATCCCCCAACACCTGTCCCGAATTTTCACACTTGCTATCTGGACAGCGTAAGGGGAATGGATTGGGGTATTTTCATTTCCCCCCCCCCGCCATTATCGAGTTGCAGGCATTGGTTTGTTCATGGCTTAGAAGTTAAGCTCTGGATTTTCAGAGCAAGACATGGAGTTGGGACACTAGAACCTATTGACTTTAGTTGGAACTTGGGCATTCATATCCCTTAGGGAGCTCTGAAAAATCTCACGCACAATTTTTAATTTAGGGTTTGAGAAGAAACTCCCGGTTTCCTTCATAAAGAACTAATTCATTGTTCTTCTGCAGCAGCTAGTGAATGACACTCATTGTGACAGGATGCTGTATTAGATGGGCCACTCATCTCTTCCAGCCTAGCAACTTCTACGGTCCCATGTGCAGAAATAATTCTAGGTGCACAACTTCATCTGGTCTATCTTAGTGTAGCTGACTCCACAGTGCCCTGACTCCACAGAGCTGATCCAACCCCCATCAGCTGTTGTAACCTTCCCAGGACCAATTCTCAGCTCTTTCCCTCAGGAAAGTGGAGTTGGATCCCCAGGAGCAGATGACATCAGAAGTGCGGATGGAGGCGCATGTGGTGATAGAGGCTTATAACGTTATGGCGGATGCTATGGTTATGGGGGTCCCTGTGATTATGGGAGATTATAGGGTTATGGGGGCCCATACAGTTAGCACGGGCTCTATGGTCACAGGAGCCATATGGTTATGGGGGAATACAGTGTTTGAGGGGATGGTGAGGGGCCATCGTTAAGTCAATGGAAACTGTGGGCCATGTTAAACCCAGCAGGCATATCCATGGGAAAAGGAAGAAGCAGGAAATGAACGGCAAGATACAGATTCATGTCTGATCGCATAGGCCTGGCTTTGAGAAGTGTTGAGTACACCAAACTTGATGGGTTTCTTCTAATTCCTTCCTGGCTCTGGGCTTCCTCTATTATCAATACAGTGAGCCTGATTCTCAACTACACAATGTTTTTTCACACCACTCTGCAAAGTGCAAATGGAGCTGGGACCATAAAGTGTATGTTACCTACATCTACATTGACTTGAATGCATGTTTCCCATGAGAGAGGAGTGTCAAAAGACTTTAGTGTCAATGAGAATGATGCTAAGTGATCTCCTATCCATGAATACGGACCCTTTCTGCCTTTTAACTTTCTAACAGAAGCTGCATAACGGAGACGTTTTTCAACTTTGCTTTCATTGTGTTTTGCTTTAGTGTAGACTGAGCAAGGTGAAACCAGTAATTAAAATGGTGTCAGACAGACTTGATTGTCAAACTCTGCAACTGCAATAAAGAAGTAAGGGAATTGTGTGAGAAATACACAACTTTGGAGCTGGTGATGGGACACAGACCTTCATGAAACCATGGAAATCTAGTTTTGCTCTTCTGCTTCCTTTCTTTATTCTTTATTTTGACAATTTTCTACTCCCCTTCATTTTAATTCAAACATATACTACCTCATACTACTGGTCTTCTAGTTTAATTGCTCTTCCATTCGTTATCTTTTCATATCACCAAAGGCTTCGACATCGTTTGGCCAAAAATGTCCTCCAGGTTTGGATACCTCCAGTGTTGGTGCACAACTCAGAAACCTAGTAGCCTGTTATAAACAAATGTTGAGAATGAACTGCTCCGGTTTGCTTCAGTGAAAGTCTTGAGTACTCAGTACTTCAGAGAAAAGGGCTTGGAGCCTCTCCTGTTAGGCACATAAAATCAGTGGCTCCTTTGGAAAGAGGTTGGCTTAGCTGCATCCAGAAGAGAGAATAGTGACTGATTGATCCCAGGTCCAATTCTGTTCGGTCTGAATTCTTGTGTGAAATGCTCTCATTGGAATTCAAAGGATCAGATTTGCTAGGTCTTCCAATATAAAG